ATGATGACATAAGGAGATGGAAAGACATTCCATGTACATGGATTGGAAGAATAAACATAGTTAAAATGTCCATACTACCTAAAGCAATCTGCAGATTGAACGCCATCCCAATCAGAATCCCAATGACATTCTTTACAGAATTAGAGCAAAGAATCCTAAAATTCATATGGGGCAACAAAAGACCCCGAATTTCTAAAGCAATCCTGAGAAAAAGGAACAAAATGGGAGGCATCACAATCCCTGACTTCAAAACATACTACAAAGCTACAATAATCAAAACAGCATGGTACTGGTACAAAAACAGGTGCACAGATCAATGGAACAGAATTGAAAGCCCAGAAATAAAACCACACATCTATGGACAGCTTATCTTTGACAAAGGAGCTGAGGGCATACAATGGAGAAAAGAAAGTCTTTTCAACAAATGGTGCTGGGAAAACTGGAAAGCCATATGTAAAAGAATGAAAATTGACCATTCTTTTTCACCATTCACCAAAATAAACTCAAAATGGATTAAAGACCTAAAGGTGAGACCTGAAACCATAAGGCTTCTGGAAGAAAACGTAGGCAGTACACTCTTTGACATCAGTATTAAAAGGATCTTTTCGGACACCATGCCTTCTCAGAGAAGGGAAACAATAGAAAGAATAAACAAATGGGACTTCATCAGATTAAAGAGCTTCTTCAAGGCAAATGAAAACAGGATTGAAACAAAAAAACAACCCACTAACTTGGAAAAAATATTTGCAAGTCATCTATCTGACAAAGGCTTAATATTCTTAATAGATAAAGAACTCTCGCAACTCAACAACAAAACATCAAACAACCCAATCAAAAAATGGGCTGGAGACATGAACAGACATTTCTCCAAAGAAGATATACTGATGGCCAATAGGCACATGAAAAGATGCTCATCATCGCTGATCATCAGGGAAATGCAAATCAAAACTACACTAAGATATCACCTTACACCTGTTAGAATGACAAAAATATCTAAAACTAATAGCAACAAATGTTGGAGAGGTTGCAGAGAAAAAGGAACCCTCATACACTGCTGGTGGGAATGCAAACTGGTGCAGCCACTATGGAAAACAGTATGGAGATTCCTCAAAAAACTAAAAATAGAACTACCATACGATCCAGCCATCCCACTACTGGGTATTTATCCAAAGAGCCTGAAGTCAGCAATCGCAAAAGTCCTGTGCACCCCAGTGTTTATTGCAGCACTGTTTACAATAGCCAATACATGGAAGCAACCTAAGTGCCCATCAACAGACGAATGGATAAAGAAGATGTGGTACATATATACAATGGAATACTACTCAGCTGCAAAACAGAACAAAATCATTGCATTTGCAATAACATGGATGGACCTTGAGGGAATTGTGTTAAGTGAAATAAGCCAGCGAGAGAAAGATAATCTGTGTATGACTCCACTCATATGAGGAATTTAAAACTATGGACCAAGAACAGTTTAGTGGATACCAGGGGGAAGGTCGGGTCGGGGGTGGGCACAAAGGGTGAAGTGGTGCACCTACAACATGACTGACAAACATTAATGTACAATTTAAATTTCACAAGATTGTAACCTATCAATAACTCAATAAAAAAAATAATAATAAAAGATTGATAAAAGAAAAAAAAACAAAACAAACTCATTGGGATTTTGGTTGGAATTAAATTAATCTTTAGAACAATTTAGAGAAAACTGACATTTGTACAATTTTGAATCTCTCAATCTGTGGATGTGATTTACCTCCCAGTTTATTTAGGTCTTTTATATCTTACAGTAAAGTTGTATAATTTTCTTTATACTTCCTTGATCATTTTAGAATGATCATATAATAAGATATGTTTTTGGAGAAATTTTTCTCTCTTAAATCGCACATATAGAGTGTCCACTTTTACTTTTTACAAGGGTTGACAAATTATAGACTATTTGGCAAATTATAGCCACCGGTTTTTGTATGTAAAATTTTGTTAGACACCATCAAACCTGTTTGTCTGCATATCGTCTGTGACGGCTTCTGTCCTGTAGCAGTCGAGTTAAGTAGTTGGGACAGAGACCATATGGCTTGCCAGCCTAAAATATTTACTGTCTGACCCATAAGAAAAATGTTTACCAATTCCTGCTGTATATATTGCCATAGCCTTTGGTGATTCAAAAAAACAAAAACAACAAAATAAAAAAAGATCACTTTAAGTGTAATCTGAGGAATTACATCCAAACCATTCTTTCATTGAAAACTTGAAAAGATGTGAACTGTGTTCTCTAATGTTAGAACTGCTCAGCCACCAAGATGGCCTAACCGTTTCAAACAGATGGGTCTTTGTGTGTAGTCAGATGGAGTATATTCTACATCTGTCAAACAGAATTAAGTTGGGAAAAAAATGTTGATTAAAGGAATAAACTGTATGACTGGTGGGCCATATAATATTGTAAAGTACTACCAAAGGATTTTTGGAAACATATTATCTTGAAGGGTCATAGTGTCAGAAGTTTAGGACTGGGATTGATAACAGAGTTTATGATGGTATCATTTTATTCGTAAGGAAACTGGGTTTCAGAAGTTAGGTAATTTTTCCCAAGGCCCCATACCCTATTGCTATGTTATTCTGACTCTAAGGTATTTTTATGAGAAAGGTAATAGGGCATAATGATTTAAGAGCTTATACAGAACTCAGTGTAAATCCAAGCTTTCCCTCGAGGGAGGTAGGTAACTGCACAGCTTGCTGCCACTCTGTTCTGCAGTTTGCTGATTTGGAGAACTGGAGAGACTGACACCTACATTGCTGTACCATGCTCAGGAAGAGTGAATGAGATTCATATTATATGTAAGGAGTTCATCAGTCTGCCTGCACAAATAGTTGTTAGCTGTCCATGCTGTCCTAACAAACTTCCTCAAGTGATTTCTGTTAAGGTTTTCTGGATGGCAAAGAATGTAATGTGAATATTCAGCTCTGCTTTTTTTCTTAAAGATTTTATTTTTCCTTTTTCTCCCAAAGCCCCCTGGTACATAGTTGTGTATTTTTAGTTGTGGGTCCTTCTAGTTGTGGCATGTGGGATGCCGCCTCAGCATGGCTTGATGAGCGGTGCCATGTCCGTGCCCAGGATTTGAACTGGTGAAACCCTAGGCCGCTGAAGCAGAGCGCGCTAACTTAACCACTCGGCCACGGGGCCGGCCCCTCAGTTCTACTTTTATAATATGTACACACTTTGCAACACTTTGGAAAACACTATTAAGTTTGTAAATGCTGTGACATGTGTTTTCTAAAACATTATGAATTAATTTACCCTTTTCTTTAACAGTCATACCTTTAAATAGATTCTTTCTCTGATTAGCTTAAAGTTTCTCGTGTGCTCTGTTTATACCCCCTTCCCATAATTTGTACATACAGGAGTCTTTTCAGGTTACATTATTTAAGGTCTTATATTCTCTTTGACAGGGTATTAATTTTACGTTTGTGTGTGTTAATGTATAACACTACTTTTGGAGAGAGAAGAGGCGTGTAGTCAGATGGATGTCATTCTTAAATCAATATGTGATTCAGGCATTATCCCGAGCAACCAATTTAGTAACCCTTCCTTTTTATTAAAAGAAAGGGGAGGGGGCCAGGAGGAGCTTAGATTGGCAAAATATTTTTATTAGAAAGTCCATATTGTCGCCTAGTGATTGCCATGTTGTATCTTGCTTTTACTTCTAGGAAAATTTCATAGTTGTAGTTGCTCTTCTGTTTGCTCTCATGATAATATTTTAATGGTTCTTGACCAGGCATGTTAATTGCAAACCTCCCCCCCCACAACCCCCGCCAGCCCCATGACTTGATGTGAACAGCAGTTCCACACAAGGACGGACTGTCTAGTCTCCAGTTGTAATTATGTGCTCCCTTGAGAAATACTGTTGGATAAATAGAAATATTATATAGGTTAGGTCTGTGGTTTAAATATCAATCTATATCTATACAACAACCAGAGAAAACGTCATTTTAGTAATTCTTAGTCAGAAACACTAAGAAAAAAGCAAGATAAGTGGCCTTGTGAAGGACTGGGAAGAAGCCCAAATCTGACTCTCACTTATCCCACCTCCCCCAGCCTTGGCTGATTGTAAAAGGTCTCCATAGAGCACCGTGTGTTCTGGATGGGGCTAGGTCATAGGTCTGTGTAAATGTACTCTTTCATCATTACTTAAAATGTTGTTGAATGCATAAACCTAGAGACATCCTGCATGCCTAAAGCAGTGACTAAATTTGGCCTTTTGCTGTTAAATGTTTGTGTTGGTGATTTTCATGAAGATAAAGATGCCATGATTAGTGAAATAAGGCACATACTCACTTATCACTTATATGTGGAATCTAAAAAAAAAAAAAATGTCAAAACTCCTAGAAACAGAGAGTAGAAGAGTGGTTGCCAGGAATGGGGGTTGGGAGTGGAATAGGGAGAGATTGGGAAAGGGTATCAACTCTGACCTATAAGATGAATTAGGTTTGAAGATCTGATGTAAACATGTTGACTATAGTTGAGAACACTACTGTATAATTGAAATTTGCTGAGAGAGTAGAACTTAAATGTTCTCTCACACACTCAAAAAGATCAATATGTGAGGTGATGGATGTGATAACTAGATGGAGGAATCCTTTCACAATGTGTCTGTATATCAAATCACCCTGTGTACCTTAAATACTTTACAAATTTTGTTTTTCAATTATACTTAAAATTGAAATAAAAAAGATGACATGATTATCAAACTTAAGGGTCTTGGTATCAAAACCTCAGTCTACGTAAAACCAGTGATGCTTTCTTACCATTTCCTCAGTAAAAACATGGAATGAAAATTAGAAATGATTAAGTTGCCACTCACATGTCATTAATAATCTTGTCTTTAAACTGTTATATGCATTTGAGGCTTTGGTTAGTAAATCAGCTTCTTTCATTTTGAGTACTTTAAAAACTCTAATGATTTATTACTTATGTAGATAGTCATGCTTTGATGTGGTTTTAGGTTCATGCGAAATGGATTTTGGACACTGATGTTTTCAATGAATGGATGAATGAGGAGGATTATGAGGTGGATGAGAACAGGAAGCCTGTGAGTTTTCGTCAGCGAATTTCAACAAAGAACGAAGAGGTATTTGGTTTGGCACCATTTTTCTCCTCTTGGTCTTTCTTCTTTCTTGGCCTGAATATTGTCACATCTTCATTAATGAACTCTCACATATAAACCAAGGTGCATCCATCAAGTATATATAAGACTTAGTAAGTGGCTGTTAACAACCATCTCAGGAGCTGGCAACCCCAAAAAAGGAGCATGAAAATCTCAAAGGGTCATTAAGATTTCAAGTGGTCCATGTAGTATGACAGTGGTACAGCTGATTTTGTTTTCTAGATGTGAGTTTTAATTTTGTGAACCAAGTATCATCACAGGGTAATTTAACTTAGCTGTTGGTTTTCCAAGAGAAAACTTTTTCTTTCTCCCCAAAGCCCCAGTAGATAGTTGTGTGTCCTAGTTGTAAGTCGTGCTAGTTCTTCTATGTGAACCACTACCGCAGCACAGCAGCTGACGGGTGGGTGCTGTGGTTCCGTGACCGGGAAGTGAACCCAGGCCACCGAAGTGGTGAGTGCTGAACTTTAACCACTAGGCCCTCAGGGCTGGCTCCTCATTTTTTTAAAATATTTTTTGGTAGCTTTGTTAATGCACATACAGTAGTTAGTACAAAGTATAGGCCTTAAAGGTCTCAGAGTTATAATTTAGTCCTTTTTGATGTGGGAAGACTTGACATTTAATACTCTTCGATCCTTTAAGAAGCCTAGCCACTTAAATATTTATCTGTGATTTCTTATACATCACAACTTGTGAGGTAGGTGTGTCACTAGGGGAAGCTTTGAGACTGAGAAGGCGGCTTGGATGTGTTAGTGTTGGGTTTCTGACCGCTTTAGACAGAGAGAGACTTGTGATTCTGAAGTCCTTTTCACTGGAGGCACTTAGAATTTTTGCTTTTTGTTTTGTATTTTAGTTTTTGCAAAGTCTTTGAGACAGATGTACTTATACCCATTAACTTAGAAAGTACAGTTCTTTCATACCTTAGTTTCAGCCCTGAGACCTTACTAAACCTCTTTGTCAGACTTTGTGTATTCTTTATTTTTAAGAAAAATATTTAAAAAGTAGATCTTTTATCATATCCTTTCATTTTGTTTGTATTTGTTTTGGAATTTGACTTTAAAATTCTTTTTATTTTAGTGTTCCCCTGCTGATATGTTTATATGTTTGTTTTCTCTTAATGCATTTCAAACTAAGTTTTTTGTCATTAGGAATATTCTCATTTCCATATCACATTATTAAACTTATCTTTTCTTATCCACCCCTGTACAGATTTAGATGTTTTTGTTTATTTATTCACTTACTTTTAGGGGGATTATTTGAAAATTGATTTAATATTCCTATTTAAAAAGTTTAACTTCAAACTTACTATGCAATCAAAAAGGTGTGTGTAGTTTAGATTTTCTTTGAAACTTCTCTTATAGGTCTGTAAGATGACTCAGATTCCCAATTTGATGCTACAGAGCTACCAAAAGGAAATGGATAGTTGTAAGGGGTAGGAGGGTACCAGAGAAAAATAAATATTTAATTGATGTTTTAATCTCTAATTTTTTTTTTGCACCTCAGATACAATACTTGGATCACTTTACGTGTCTTTTTTTTTCTTTATTATGGTCTATTTTATTAAACAGTTATCCACAGGTTGGCTTTTGTATATTGATGTGCATCCTGCAAATCTATTTAACTCATTTATTAGCTTACATAGTTTTTTTGTGGATTCCTTAGGGTTATCTATATATAAGATCATGTCATCTACAAAATAGGGGTAGTTTTACTTGTATAGGTTGACTTTTAAATCATAAATTGCAATCTTATTTAACATTTTTTGTGTCATAAAGGTATCCGTTATATTCCTTTTACTGATGAATTAGGAGTAGTTTCTGGTACATTTTCACAAGATCCATCAGCTGGTCTTTGTATTTCATTAATTTAATAGCGTATGTTTCATATTTTTCCAGTAGTTATTGAAAATGCTTTTCCCACCTGGAAACACAGAATGTGAACAGGAACGGGTTTTAGTTGTGCATAGTTTGGGCATGTCTGTTTTTTAGCATAGTTTGAATACCAGTAGATGGTTCTGATACTTCCACTGGTGGTGCATCACCTGAGAAGTCAGGAGAAGTCTCTTCACTGCTGGTGGTCCAGGGTGCTTAATCATGTGCCTTTCATTTGCTCCGAGCTCGTGGGTTTGGTATTATCTTTGTTTGTGAAAACTCACCTTTGAACAAGGATTTGTAGAAACTGAGGAGTCAGCAAAGCTGGCTGATACTCATTTCCATTTACTTTTTCCTAGCCAGTCAGAAGTCCAGAGAGAAGAGATAGAAAAGCATCAGCTAATGCTCGAAAGAGGAAACATTCGCCTTCCCCTCCGCCTCCCACACCCACAGAATCCCGGAAGAAGAGTGGGAAGAAAGGGTAAGAACTTCAGCATGATTTAAAAGGCATTAAAACAAACTCCAAAGGACTGTCCAGATTTTTACATTTATATTGGAAGTTTTGCTGAAAGGAAGTCTTACTTTGACTTGGTGGGAAGTCTTAGCTTCGAAAGCTTGTCATGTTATGCGATGTTATCTGATGGGCATCTTATGTCATATTTGTACAAAGGCACCCTGAATACGGTCTTTTTTTCTGTATATAAGTGTATATTGAGAAGCGTAGCTGGTGTAGGGAATTTAAGAAATTATACTCACCATAGTATTTTTTTCTGATTTTACCACCTGCCCCATTTGTGATCAAAATGACTTACAGAAGAAAGGAACCTGTGTCTGTTTGATGTTCTGCAATGTGCAACAGCATAGTGCCTTGTTCACTGGGTTACATTTGTATTTAGTGAATCTTGCTTAGTGAGAATTTTGGTTTCTATTAATAGGTTGTGGGAATTAAGTGATACTTTAAAGCCCTTGCACAGTGCCTGGCCTGAAGTAGATACTTAATAAATCGTAGATAATACTTAATAATTTATTATTAAGTAGATACTTAATTTTGGGATTGTGTAGCTCAAAATATTTTTAATGCAATTTCACAGATGTTATAGTTTAGTCTTAGAACATGACAATTTGCAAAATTTATTCTTTTCATGTGGTAGTAAATTTGTTAAATCTCTGGCTGTTTACTGGGCTGTAAAGATCTACTTGACATTTCTTTCCATCAGCTTACTTTTACTGATTTTCCTCTCCAACCAAATTTGCATTTCTGTGCCCAGAACATGCTTGAATTACATTATTTCTGGAAGGGTAGCATTATCTGAAGCATTCTTAACCATGCATAGAAGCTTTTAAGGAAGTTAAAAAACTCTTAGTTTTATAAATAATATTAATGAGCCAGTCACAGTTATAAAAAGATTTAGTTATTTTGTCATGTCACATGTATTGTGATGTAAAAATTAAAACCGCAAAAATAGATATTCTTTTAGGTATTATTGAGGGTAACTTTATTTCTTAAATTTCTTCTTTTTTTAAATTAAAGATTGGCATCTGAGCTAACAACTGTTGCCAATCATCTTTGGTTTTTTTTCCTGCTTTTTCTCCCCAAATCCCCCCAGTACATAGTTGTATATTCTAGTTGTGGGTCCTTCTAGTTGTGGCGTGTGGGTTACCGCCTCAGCATAGCCTAATGAGTGGTGCCATGTCCACACCCAGGATCCGAACTGGGGCGAAACCCTGGGTCGCTGAAGTGGAGCATGCAAACTTAAGCATGTGGCCATGGGGCTGACCACCTGTTTCTAATCTGAATGTTAGTGTTGATGTTCAGAGATTTCAGAGCTCCCTGAGATCTTTGTGAAGAAAGCCATAGCAACTTTTCTACATGTTTGTGGGCCTGAATTTGATGTGTTGCTTGGTCACCAAACCAAGATGTGATGTCCAGGAGGCTCACGTGGTGGCATTTAGCCTATACTCGGAGTATAAAGCCCACCAAATTGAGTTTCCAAAATAAATGTATCTGTGTCCTTTAATAGAATGCATCTGCTTTCTAATGAGCAGGGTTCTGCACATTTTAAGTTTCCCCTTAGGATCCTATATTTAACCAAAACATATTCAAATCTGTTTTCCTAACATTTGTTTTATTTGGTTTCCCTGCATCTCTTCTTTCCTTTTTAATGTATTTTATCTCCCTGCCACCTTTAGGGTCATAGGCTTTTACAATATTGTCATTTAATGTTTATTTCAAGAAAATTTTACCCAATGTATCTTATTCTAACGTATACCAATATCTTGTCCCTCTCAGAAGAGAACTTTGAGCATTCTCTCAGCAGTGAGGACTCAGGCTGGTTGGTCCCACGTGTGTTTCAGTTGGCTCTTTCTCCATTCCCACTCACTTGTCAGTATACTCTAGATTACTATGCATTTCTTCCCTAAACAGTTAATTTTTTCCTCATGCCTTTGTGCATCATCCTGAAAAATTGCCTGCTTTTTATAGTTCCAAAGGTTCAGCTTAACTGTCACCTTCAATCTTGACCAACTCTTTCTCTGAGCTGCATTTTCTTGGTACTTTTATTCATTTCTCTGTGCTGGGTACACGTCACATTATATGAGGTAGGTAATGATTTCTGTCCTGTATCCTCTGTAATTCCTCAAGGTAAGGAATCATTCCCTTCTTGTTTGAACCCTAACATGCTTTCTGGCATGTATGAGTTTTAAAAGTAAATATTGATTTGATTAAATTGGTGGTGAAAAAGCAGTGACAATTTTTATAAAAAGAAAAAAGTTAGTACCATCCTAAGTGGTTTTACTTTTCAGCTCCTGATGGTAGGATGATACAAAGAGTTCTACATATCTTTGAGAAAATTTCTTATGTAAGTGATTGTTTATGATCTGAAATGAAATGTGCCATATTTCCATAGCAAGTGTTCTTTTGTTACACTAATTTATGCCCCTTTTAGGATATTGTTCTAAAATTTGTATAGTAGGATTTCTGTGCCTCTTTCTTAGGCCCAATAACTTATTTTCCTTTTGGCTGGTTAGATGTAATTTGGGGAATGTATGTAATTTGATTTCTGTTTGTCTTTTAAGGTGATTCTGTGCATTGATTCTAACAGCAATGAATGTAAAGCCTCTATAATTGTTTGCTATATAAGTAGCTATAATCAGTCTTGTTTATATTTATATACTTTGTATTTTTTAGCCAAGCTAGTCTTTATGGGAAGCGCAGAAGTCAGAAAGAAGAGGATGAGCAGGAAGATCTTACCAAGGACATGGAAGACCCAACCCCTGTACCCAACATAGAGGAAGTCGTGCTTCCGAAAAATGGTTTGTATTTTTCTACCTAGACTACAACAGTGTCAGACATGATTAATCATTCTTAGCCACGCCATGGGATGATTCATTTCTTGCTCTGCATCCCCAGTTCTCAACTTTTCAAATATGAGTAGATTCTTCCTTTTAAGGTTAATGTTTATGAAATTCCCTCTTTCCCAATCTTTTGGTATACTTCTGCTGTTTATTGAAAAAACACAGTCTGACCAAAAAGTTCTCTAAATTTAGTAATGCTTTAAAATTAGTGGTTTTAAAATCCCAACAGAATCAATATACATATGAAAAAGTGAAGTTCTTATCTATGTACAGTTTAACCTATTTAAATCAGTTATTGTGAGGAGGATGTTACACTCTTTTAACTGTGAGTGTGGATTTGTCCATTTTTCCCTTTATTCCTGTTAAAATATTTTTCTTTATGTATTTTCTTTGTGAATGTCAAAGCTCTATTTTAGGGCATAGACATTTAGGATCATAATGTCCTCCTAATGAGTTGACTCTTGTCTCATGTCTCTCTGTGTGCCATAATAGTGCTTGTCCTGAAGTCTGAGTTCTCTGATAATAATAAAGCCCCGTCTAGCCACACCCCTTTTTAAAATTTCTCCCTTTTATTTTTTATTAGTCGCCAACTGTACTCAAGATGTCAGTACAGCAGTCTTATAAATTGTACATTTTTTCTCATGCTTTATGTTTTCAAATTATATTGCTTTTGCAGTCTTTTACTTTCGCTCTAATTATGTAAAGCATATTGCTTTTAAGCAGCATATTGTTGAGGCTTGTTTCCCACCCCCCAGGATTCACATTTTCTGTTTTTAATTGAAATATGTTAGTCCATCTAAATGTAACATAATTATCGATATGGGTTTAAGTCTGCTTCATGCTATTTTTCTTCCCCATTTGTTCCTTTCTTGTTTCCTGCTATCTTTTGATTTAATCTACTACTTTTAGTGTTCTATTCTAGCTCCTCTATTTGTTCTTTTTGTTTTTATAACTTGTATAGTTTCTTTCTTTTTTTTTCTTTAAGATTCTTTTTATCCCAAAGCCCCCCAGTACATAGTTGTGTATTTTTAGTTGTGGGTCCTTCTAGTTGTGGCATGTGGGATGCCACCTCAGCACAGCCTGACAAGCGGTGCCATGTCTGTGCCCAGGATCCGAACCGGTGAAACCCTAGGCCGCTGAAGCAGAGTGTGCCAACCTAACCACTTGTCCATAGGGCTGGCCCCTATAGTTTCTTTTTTTATATAGCATAGTTTTTTGGGGGGGGGGGGGAGTTTTTTGTTTTTTTGTTTTTTTTTGGATGAGGAAGATTTGCCCTGAGCCAATATGAATTGCCAGTCTTCCTCCTTTTGTATGTGAGCTGCCACCACAGCATGGTTGCTGACAGACAAGTGGTGTGGTTCCACACCCAGGAACCAAACCTGGGCTGCCAAAGCAGAGTGTGCCCTACGTAACCACTAGGCTACTGGGGCTGGGCCAGCATAGTTTCAATTGAGATATACTTCACATAGCATAAAATTCACCATTTTAAAGTGTATTTTAATCACTCCAGTGGCTTTTGGTATATTCAGTATGTTGTACAACCATCACTGCTATCTTAATTCCAGAACGTTTCTATCCCCCTGAAAAGAAACCCCATACTTACTAGGGGTTAGTCTTAAGTTATCCCATTTTCCCATATCCTAGCAACCACTAGCCTACTTTCAGTCTGTATGGATTTTCTTATTCTCTATTTTCTTTTTAGATGTATTTTTCTTAGTGGTTGCTCTAGGGATAACTATGTATCCTTAATTTATCAAATCCATTTAGAATCTCTGTTGTTCAGTTGAGATAAAAATGAAATTTACTGTAACATAATTTATGCTCTCTCCTGTCTTTTGTGATATTTTCATATATTTTACTTCCACATGTGTTATAATCCCCAGAACATCTTTTTTTGGAGGGGATGTTCTTTTTTGTTTTAAGCAGAAATTTGTATTTTTAAGAATTTAAATAATGAAAAATAGAGTGATCTATAATATGTTATATGCATTTCTAAAAATCATTGTGTTGTGCAAAATTGGGTAATAAAAACCACACAAATGTATTTTAAAGGACATATAGAAGAGAAAATTCACAAAAGTAATCAAAATATTTATTTTAAATAAAAGAGCTGTGAAAGTGTTGGTGGTCCTAACAGGTAACTGTCTAAATTTATAAAGCTGTAGTAATTAACATAGTATGGTTTGGATGCAGGAATGGCTGAATCCATTAGTGAAATAGAATGACCAGTTTAAATATAGATCTATGTTTGTTTATAAATTTAACTTATTGTGAATTGAGCAATGCAAATCAGTGTGATAAGACCAAACTTTCCACAAATGACTTTTGGTAAAATTTGGTACTCTGCTTTGTATCATATATAAGAACTTAAACTTCAGGTGGATTAAAGTGCTAAATTCAAAAAACAAAACTAGGGGCCGGCCCGGTGGCACAGTGGTTAAGTTCACACATTCCACTTCGGTGGGCCGGGGTTTGCTGGTTCGGATCCCAGGTGCGGACATGCACTGCTTGGCAAGCCATGCTGTGGTAGGCATCCCACATATAAAGTAGAGGAAGATGGGCACAGATGTTAGCTCAGGGCCAGCCTTCCTCTGCAAAAAGAGGAGGATTGGTGGCAGATGTTAGCTCAGGGCTGATCTTCCTCAAAAAAAAACCAAAACCAAACAAAACTGTAAAAGTAAACTTTCAAATACTAATGCACGTTAAACAAGTATTAGTCTTGGAGAAAATATTCATTACCCACTTAACAAAGAATTAGAACCCTAAGTATGTATAAAGATTCTTAAACCTCATAGAATAAAGAGCAGAATATTATATACTGGTAATTTTATCAAAAATCCAGGGCCCATAAATGTGTGAAAAGATCCTCAATCTCACTTAACCAAGAATATGTAAATTATTAAAGTAAGTCTTTTCATCCATCAGATTTTCACAACTTTCAAAGTATTACAAATGTTTTGAGCAAGTGGGTACTCTCAAATGCTGTTGATGGAAGTGTAAATTGATGAAGCCACTTAACACAATTTGGCTGTATCAAGTTTTAAAATGTGTACATTCAGTTTTAATTTCACAGTCCATTTTAAGTAATTATGTATATGCATGAAGTATAAAAGAATATTGATTACAGAATTGTGAAAAATGGAAAATAAAGTTTCCAGCAGTATAGGGCTCGTTACCTTATGATCCATCCATGGACACAGTGGATCTATTAAAAATGAAAGAGATGTGACGTGACTAAACGTTCGAACATGGAGAGATCACACAGTTAACTCTTGTGTGAGGAAAGTAGAATGCTGAGGAATAAACACCGAGTGGAAAACATTTATGTAAGATTTTAAAACCCTCAGGATATGTTTTAAAGTCCACGTAGGTGCATAAAAAGTATCAATTCGTGCTCAATTTATCCTAATGAATGGCACAAAATGGAAATCCGCAAATGGACAAAAAAATATAATGAAAAAGACTTTTGGGAAAGGGATTGAAATGATCTTTTCAGGTTTTACTCTATGTTTTTGTATTTTGTGTACTTTTATGATGAAAAAATATTGGTGTTTGAGTAATTAATTACAAAATTTAGTCTGTTAACATTAAGTGTTAATGTTTCTTAGCCGGGCTTGCGGTTTTTACATAAACGGGAGTAGGTTTTTACATGAAGGTGAATACTGAATGAGGGAGTTGCTGTGAGATTCATGTATTTCTTAATCATTTCCTGTTCTAGTTTCTTCTTAAAAACAAGTAGCACTTTTCCCCTAAAACGTGATTCTTTTTTTTTCTTTCTAGTAAACCCAAAGAAAGATAGTGAAAATACACCTGTTAAAGGAGGAACTGTAGCAGATCTAGGTAAAAACCAAAACAATCTATTCAGTTCTGTGTTTTCTCTCTTGAATGTTTCAGCTTCTCTGATAGCCCTTTTTTTACTGAGATGTTGCTTTCAGTTGCTCTGCTTTCTAGCACAGATATTAGCTATGGCTTCCTTACTACCACTGTTGTTTGGATTACAACCATATTAGGAAATTTAATTTTCTACAATCCCTTTTTTCCAGTTACTGATCTGTCCCTCTCAGAGTGGAATGTTGTCTTGCAAACTAGCAAAGGGGGTTATATTATACCTAAATCAGAATATCTGAGTTTTAAAGAAATAGTTGTAATTAGAGCACTTTTATAATCTCTCTGAAATGCTTGTTTGACAACATATGCAAATTGATTTTGCATCTTTAGGACAAAATTCTGCTGACTGTTAATACTTCTTAAGGCAACTGAAAGTTTTCTATGTAGTATAAAATGAGAATCACATCATCCCTGTGTAGTACTTTCAAATTATGGAGTATATTTTCACAAGTAAGGTATAATTCTTGGATATGCTAAGGGAGTAGAAAAGAGTATAGTCGCTTGTTCCAGTTAGAACAAACAGAGGTAGTTTAAATATCTTTGTTCTTGAGAGTTAAATATAGAGTAAAAATCTTGTTTACTTTTTTCACTTGTAAAAATCGAAAGAGAGTCTCGTGTTTTCAGCATATACTAAATTTTTGACTTGATGGAATTTTAGACCTGAAAGGCATTTTCGAGATCTCCTTATGTGGAAAACGAAACACTGATTTCTCCATCTCCTGGTTAGGTGAATTCTGTATTTCAAGTAAATTGCAATGATTCCTGATGGCAGATATGAGTGTGTATTTGGGAGAGTTTTTCCACTTCATTTCACTAAATGTATCCTGCTTTTCATGAACATCAGTGGGCGATTCTATTTCTGATTATGTCGAAAGCAGAAGCAGAAAATTGTCTTGATGACAGTTTATATAAAGGGTGGTATTAGGTCAACAAAATAAATGAAAAAGAGGAGATACTGTCAAAACATTTCTATCTCAGTTATTTTTAACATTATTAATAGAATATAGATCTTGAATAACTATTAAAAATTTCCATTCTCTGGAAGTTTACATTGCCTGTTCTACAACTGGCATGGCATTTATCCACTGAATGAAAGGCCAAGAAAGCAAAAACTAACTCTAAGCAGTCTTTTATTTTATATTCTCAATAATGTGACAGGGTAGAAGATTGTTAAAATACTCTTCACTGGGACAGTTTGTTAAACAGAATGAGTGTTTATATTTTTAGGTATATATCCTGAAAAGGAATTAATTTGTAGTTTTAAGGAAGTGGACAATTGTCCTTTTTAAAGTGAGATAACTATTAGAGTATTTTTGTCATAGACTTTATCAAAGGAGTCGAAGCTAATTTTAAGAAAAGGATAGGGGTCCCAACTGGATTTAAAATTTTTAGTGCTAAGTATAAGAGATCTTCCCTTTGTGTTTGTGAAAAGCTTGAGGTCTAAATTAGGAATGTTGTGGCTACTGATGCTGCTGATCATACCTGGAGAGTTAGGATCTGTGGAATTTGAAACTTTTGTTCTGGCCTTTCATCCAGGGACCAGCAGACTTCCTGTGTATCATTTAAGCATCTGGCTTTCTGCATTAGCTATAACTTGAACTATGACAAGGGTAACTGATCCATGAATTGGGAGTTACTGTTGACAGAGTTTTTTGTTGTTTTAACTGATCCATATTCTACCTTATATGCCATTAAGCTAAATACGTTCAGTTCTTTGAAAGAAGGAGATCTTGAGATCTCTGAAAAGTCAGGATCCAGGGGCTGAAGCGAAAGTGTATTTGCCCACAAACAGAAGGAAGAACAGAACATTTATTGAGTATTACCATTTAGGAATTAGTACGAAGGATATCTGTCCTACTTTTTTGTTATCAGAAGCCTGTTTTCATTGGGTACGAGACTACCTCAGGGACAGAAATCTGTCAGACTATAACTGAATGGTATATTTGACCAGAGAGAGATCATTAAGTTGTAGTACAACCATCTAGTGAGAAGTTGGTTATCCTTTGGTTTACTGGGATCAAAAGGACAAAATGTTCATTTATGACAGCCTTACCTAGATTTCTGTCAGTCACTTCCTAGAAAAGTAATAGTCCCTGTGCAGGGCTGGATGACTCATGTTGGTAGTACCATAATTTACTACACAGTGAATCCCCTATTCTTGTCAGCAGTATTTGTCTCTAACTCACAAATCAAAGAGCAGTGTCCATCTCTGTTACATGAGTACCTTCCCTGGTGTCATTCTACATATGTTTGCATTTCACCATAAAACCGCATTAGCCTTGTTCTATTGATGAGCAAATGGAGACTGGAGGGTTCAGTAACATTTCCAAGCATACAGCTTTTAAGTGGAAGAGTACAGATTCAGATCTGTCTAACTTTAGTGCCAATGCTTTGTATTATTGCCCTCTGCTCTTGTGATGTGCTCATTTCTCTCAGCCTTTATTCATGTTCTCAGTGGCTTGTCAGTTTTGTAAAGTCATCAAGTCCACCCTATCTGAGCTCCTTTGATCTGGCCGATTCCTCTGCGTGGAGTGCTTGCTTCATTCTTTTCTTCTCTTCATGTTTCAGTTTAAATGTCACCTTTTCAGGGAGGCCTCCCTCTTTATTTGCCCTGAAGAGTCCACCCACCCAGGCTCTCTCTAAAATACTTTATTTTTATTCTCCGTACAGCAGTTTTCAACATCTTATATCTTTTTGTTTACTTTCTCTTCCATCTCTTGCCACTCGTAACTGGAATGTAAACTCCGTAAAGGCAGGAATCTTTTCTTGTTCATCATTGTGTTTCTAGCTTTTGGACAGTGGCTGGCACATAGTAGGCACTCTGTGAAATTTAGTCAAATGTTTAAATGCTAGTCTCTATTACCTGTTAAACTACTACTCATCTTTTTATATCCTCTAAAGTAAGGATTGGCAGAGTTTTTCTGAAAAGTGCTAGATAGTAAATATTTTAAGTATTGTGGGCCATATGGTCTCTGTCACAACTAATCAACTTTGCCCTTATAATGTAGATGCAGCCATTGATAATTTATAAGCAAAGATCATGGCTTAGTCCAGAAAACTTTCGTTTATGGACACTGAAATTTGAATTTCAGTTAATTTTGATATGTCATGATATATTCTTCTATTGATTTTCTTTTCAACCATTTAAAGATGTAAGAACCGCGCTTCAATTGGAGGTGTGATGGGAATCCCCAAGACCGTTCCCATGTTTGGAGATTCTCTAAGAGGACTCATGAGATTCAGCATATAGTTGTGTTTATGGCTAACATGTAGTGACATAGGAAGCATAAACAAATCATAAGGGAAAATGCCACAGGCAGAGTCTGGGTGCAGGGTTCCTTATACTCACTCCCTTGCGTGAGGGGTCACACGGAATGCATGCTTCCTGCAGCAACAAAAATGCAGCAGCACATATGCAGCGCTTCTGCCCAGGGAAGCCCAATAGAGAGTCTACGATCAGTATTTTTACTGGGGGGCCTGGTCATGTAGGGTACCCTGTGCCTAGCACATACGAAAATTCCAAGCTGCCAGAAGTAAACAGAAGTTCATCATAAGCCATGCTATGCACAGTCTAGGCACAGCAAACCACTCTTCTTATCAGTTAACTGTTAACTAGGAACATGCTTAGGGTATAATTCCCAGATTCCAGGGAAGTGGGCCAGATTTGGCCTGTGGGCTTTCAATTCCTGACCCCTGGTCTAAGCGGCTTATTTAGTGCTTTTCAAATAGCAGATTCTTAGCAATATTTGTTAAATGACTAAGTTAATGAAAAATGGCTTCCCCATGTTCTCTTTGAACTTTATGGTACCTTAGTCACTGCCAAGGGTCATAATAATTATAAAAAAATAAAATGTTATAGGAACTTAATGTAATTATTTGTGCTGTGGCCTCTTACTCTTTCCACACTGACACTTAGTTTTCACCGTGGAAATCAGCTGCCTAGGTTAAATTATGCATGGGGTTGCTTCTATTCTTTTGCAAAGATGGCATTTAGATCTTAGAGTCCCCTATCCTGAGAAGGGATTGACATTCTTACTAGGACTTTGTCTGTAGGGATTGATGATCACCTCTTTCTTTACTCCTCATTCTTTACTCACTTCCTCTGGAATCCAAAGTGTCATTACTTTTTTTCACTAAACCTCAGGAGGCAATAGCCCTAATCAAGTCCTTTACCTATTATTAAGTAAGATCATGACTAAGATAGTAGCCTAAGCAGTAATTAATTATAAATTCCCTATTGTTGGGAATTTTTAATTACTTATGCCTTGAATTTTTACTTATCTCTGTGCTTGTGTGTACAATTCTAATTTACTGAATTATTCAAGGTGGATTTGCTTTAATAATGCTGTTTCTTTCATTTTCTCTGTCTAGTATCAATTACTTAAACCTTAAAGTTTTTAGGTAATCCAAATAGGATTTACCTGTTTTTTTAAAATAAAGTATGTGTTTCGATTTTTCAGATGAACAAGATGAAGAAGCAATCACGACAGGAGGAAAGGTAATGATTTAGTTAGGCCTGGTGAAGGAGTAACTCTCTAAGGATCTGTATATTGAGCAGTAGAAACATTGAATTGGAAGTGCCCTTAGAAATATTCTATTTTGAGGCCCTTCTGATATTTTAATTTCTCTTTTAACACACTCGCAACGTAGTTTGTCTTTCTTGACTCCCAGTATTTTATCAAGAGGAAATTTCCATCTTCCCAGGTGGTATCCCTCATATGCTTTATTTTCTGGTTCCATTACTCTCCTGGTTGCACGTTAATAGTCAGAGCTGAGCAGTATTCCAGATGTTATCCGACAATGTGCAGGTGAGCAGGGACCATGCCTCGCCTTGGTTTTCTCACTCCCATTTCTGTGGATGCAGCCCCAATCCACAGCCAATGTAGCCTTGGATCCTGCCCTTCACTTTTTTGAGACTTACAGTCAGCCGTTTCTTGTTTCATCAGTTCTACTCTAGAGACATCAGGAATTATGCTGTTGGAAAGTTCGGTTTAAGGCAAGATTTTACTTCTCTTTTTAATAAATGGCTCACTGTTTCATTCAGACTGTTGTGTCTGACTGTTAATATGTGTAGCTAATCCCTAATCTCCTTGAAATAACTTCCTTACTTTGCTAAAAATGGATAGTTCTTTTCTTTTTTCGTTGCCTCAAAGAAATTCTCCAGATTGACAGTTATTGTTTTTTTATACATTCAAAAAATGAACATAGTCATGACAGGATTTCCAGGAAAAGTATTTTAGGAAACTCTTCTACGTATGTCTCTTCAACTGAATCATTCTTATGATTATTTCCTTAAAGTCAAACTTTTTTATTCAAAGAGCTACTTGTAAACATTAATGAATATTATATTTGTAAAAAGCTATCATTCAGATTAACTAGTATTGTGTGGGTAGTAAAAGAGACCATAGTAGAAAGCCAAAGAATTTTCCTGTAAGATTTTCTTTTTCTACCAAAAGCAGGAGGAATTTTGAAACCATGGACATGACTGTTACATAGCTTAAATGTAAGGTGGTTAGAGGTAATTAGTCCAACACCCAGTCCCATGACGTCATCCTGCTTGTTTCCTCACTGAGATAGATAAACCATACACTGTCAGCTATTGTTAATTGCAGTGCCAACCTCTCCTTGGTTTTCCTGAATAAAGGAAATTTTTTGAATTGAATGAATTTGTAAATCCTACACCACAAAAACAAATTATCTGTGAGCATAGTTTTTGCCAGCTTCCTTGGTTTGGGAAATAAAATTTCTTACCTTTGTCATCAATATGAACACATTTGTTTCAGGATCATTTAAGTAACAACCAGAGTTTCCTTGGCGTTTTCATACATTAAATTTGTTCAGTATTCATTGGTCTTAAGGAAACTACTGGTTTAAGTTTCTAGGCGGTAACACTAGATCCTTACCTCAAATAATGGCACACGGGAAATTTAGGTTGGACTGAGTTAAAGGTAGAAATCAGACTGTGGAACTATTATAAAAGAATACAATTCAAAATTTGACTGGTTTCTTAATAGAAGAGAATTCTGTAAGATGAAAGACAGTAAAAGCACTGTAGATGAAAGGTTGATAGACTTAACTGTACAAATTCAGAAAACGTCTGAATGTCAGAGAACTTATTTCCTGTAGTGTACTTCATAAAAATGTTGAATTTGCATTATGAAGAACCAATCAGATAAATAGAGATTGTTAAATGTTCTACAAGATGCCTGATGTGGATTCTTCAAAAATTTTAATGTCATAAAATACCTCCCCCAAAAGGAGGCAGGGCTTAATAGAAACTAAAGATACGTGAATATCATATATAATATTATAATATGGAATCTCTGATCAGAGTCTGGATTGAGGAGAAAAATCTATAAAGGACTTTTCTGGAATACTTGGATCCATTTGAGTATAAACTGTGTATTGAATAATATTATTTAAAAGTAATTTTTATTACTGTTTAGTGGTACCCTAAGAAATATTCCTTTGTTTTGACCTAAAGCAATGATTTTGAAATTATTGTATTGAAAATCGAGTTTTTAGGTGGAATCCTTTGCAAAACCTCTATAAATCTGATAAAAATCCAAGCTAATTTTTAATAGTGGGAGTGGTTAAGAGTGTAGGCCTTCTATCTGGGCTTTCTGGAGTAATATCCTGTTTATAACTTATTAGCTCTGTGCATTGTTTTCTCATCCACAGAAGAAGTGATAATAGTATCTGTTGTTATTGTGAGAAACAAATGAAATAATGTGCATATAGCTGTTAGCAGATAGTCAGTGCTTATTCTTTGAGATAGGAGAAGCCTTGTCATTATGCCTTATTAGTGTCCTTGAGTCACCTCCTTATGAATAACTTCAGAACAACTACAGGCACACCTCGGAGATATTGCAGGTTCAGTTCCAGACAACTGCCATAAATGGAATATGAATATCAGAATGAAATGAGTCACATGAACTTTTTGGTTACCTAGTGCATAATACAAGTTATGTTTACACTATACGGTGCTCTATTAAGTGTGCAATGGCATTTTCCCTTAAAAAAAACAACGTACATACCTTAATTAAAAAACACTTTCTTGCTAAAAAGTGCTCACCATCATCTGAGCCTTCTGAAAGTTGTCATTTCTTTGCTGGTGGAGGGTCTTGTAAAAAACGCAGTATCTGCGAAGCTCAGTGAAGCAAAATACAGTAAAACGAGATATTCCTGTAATTTAGATTTGTGGTCTTAAGATTAGGTAAAACTAGACAAGTAAGAAGCAGGCTATTGTGGTAAAAGTTTGGGCCCTTTTCTGAGTTGATCCCCTCATCTGTAAAAGGTAGGAATAAAATTTGCTATATCATCTGGACATTTTGTGAAGGTACCTTAAAAACTGTGAAACACTGTTTTTACTTGGAATTTGTTTGTCTGGTCCTTCTAATTGGATCAGCTATCTTCATTTTCTGTGACCTAAGATCAGAAGTATAAAAGCTGTTAAATATCTTTGTAGTTCTTTCTCTGAACTTTGGTTTCCTTTCTTTAGGAAGATGAAGATCCTAGCAAAGGTGATCAGAGTCGGTCAGTTGACCCTGGTGAAGATAATGTGACAGAGCAGACCAATCACATTATCATTCCTAGCTATGCATCATGGTTTGATTATAACTGGTGAGTGTGCTGCTTACATCTGTGAACATGGTGCTTAGGAATGGGAAAACTTCCCGTGAAATTAAATTGTGGTGTTTGCCCAAGTCCTCACATCAGTCCTCACTGTGACACCGGATAGGGGGAGATGGAAAGTGATTTATTTTTTTAACTTTGGAACATGTTCTTTAAAACAATTTAGGGATGTAAATTAGATTGTGTTGTAACTTAGGGTTGTAAAATTTTATAAGCTTGAACCTAACTCATTTAGAATCAGTTATAATTCAGACAGGCAGATGCTTGAATATTTAATAATTTTAAAATATTGATGTTCATTACATGGTTTTAAAACATTGAAGAAATAAAGAAAAACATCTTACTACCCAGTAATGGCTTCATTTTAATAGGAAACTTTTTAACATTGGGAAGCTCTTCGCATATAAACCCTGCTATGTGTACAAGTTCTAAAAAACAAACCTACCTGTGATTTACCACAACCACTGTGGCACCGTTGGTGGATGGTTGGAAATAACTGCAGTCCTAGGCGTCTTATTTATTGATTACTTAGGAGCTGTGACTGTTTGTTTCAGGCTGATTTTTGTCTGTTTGGTTTTTCAATTTTTAAATATATCTACCAGAACTTAACCCTCCAAACAGATACTGCCTTCTTTAAGGTACTTTCCTTGGAAGGTTGTTCACTTCCTCCGCTGATGCTGCCCTTACTGAGAATCTTCTGGTCTTGTTTGGGTCTTTTGCCTGCTCTCGATTACTGCATTATCATTCTTTAAGGATAGATGTGATTTTTTATATATCTACATCTAGAAGTCTTTAGAAGCCAATTTAAAAGAATAGGGTGGATGGTCCACTTGAGTCATACCTTAATTTTTATCCACGTATTGAGACTTTTCTGCATGTCTTTAAAACTAACTCTGAATGCTCTTCCTAAATGTTTTGAATAAGTAGAAGCTAGAACAGAATAAGCGTATCGCTCTTTTTTGAGAGTCAGTCTTCATTACATTGAATATTGTGTTAAATTATTTTTGAATTTGGAAGTGTCTCATTCTCATCGTTGTTTGTAGTTACATGTTAAGTTTCAGAATATCTTAAGGGAAACACTCGAGAAACTAGCATTCTTTTCCTCTAAAATTAAAGAAGGGAAGAGTCATAACAATATATAATTTTGTAGGTTTTTATAGGTTACAGAAACACTTTCATTTGCATGATAACCTTTGCATGTCACAAAGTGTGCTCTTAGATGGATTGTGGGATTATTAGTTATATCCGCATTTTATAGATGAGCTGACTGCTGCTTCATTTGAAGTGTTCCAAAGTTGCAGAGTTGATAATTGGAAGAACTCAGGTTTTCTGATTCTGAATACCCCACTCCTTCCACCCCTTACCCGCTTCTCAGAACCTAAGGAATCAGCTGCCGGCACTTCAAACATAGGTGTTGAAAATGAAAGTGCTTGAGATTAAACATTCTTGTGTGTTTTGTTCTGGATGAATAGAGAAATTGTTTTTTTATGGGCTCTTCCTAACATGTAACTATTAAAACAATGAGAGGCATATTAGAATCACATAATTAATTGTTTACAGCTATTTTTATAGTAAAATTTGGAAAGTCATTATGCATGTATCTGTATATCATTAATTCATCTTAAAAATTATCTTCCTAGAAGTTTTTAGATAATTCATTGTGTTTATACTATTTGGCAGTACAAATCCGGTTCAGACAGTTTTAAATGTTAGCAAATAATGGAAGAGTGAATGATCTTAGTATATTTACAGACTGTTGATTTGCTTTTTCTAGTGTAACCAGTACATGTTGCATATCTGGAAAGCCACTGAGAAACTAAAATGTGTCATCAAGAAAAGCATTGATTAGTGTTACTGACAAAACCTTTGTGCTAGATTTATAGTTGGTTCATTTGTATACTGTTAAGCCTGATCATTTTACATGGTTTCTACAGGGCTTATCACCTGTAACATTTTATAGAATTGTCACTGCCTTTTTCTAAATGTTAAAAATTAGTTCTATGGGGCCAGCCCAGTGTCACAGCGGTTAAGTGCGCACGTTCTGCTTCTCGGCGGCTCGGGGTTTGCCGGTTCGGATCCCAGGTGCAGACATGGAACCGCTTGGCAAAAGCCATGCTGTGGTAGGCGTCCCACAAATAAAGCAGAGGAAGATGGGCATGGATATTAGGTCAGGACCAGTCTTCCTCGGCAAAAGGAGGAGGATTGGCAGTAGTTAGCTCAGGGCTAATCTTCCTCCAAAAAAAAAATGAGTTCTATATTTTTAAAGTCAGTAAATCACTGAAATCTTTAAAAAATTCAATTTGCAAGTTTCTGAGGGCTGGACAGAAATTGATGTTAAGAGCCTGAGAAACTGATTATCGTAAATTGCATTGTGTTTTGGCAGGGTGGTTCATTTCACCAGACTGTTGCTGGGCCACTCCTGTGATTTTTGTCAGCCGGTTTCCGGAGAACTCTATCTTGTGGCTCCTCAGCTAGTCATGATGTGTTATGACAAGAACGTAATAAAATGTCTGGCTTTAAATGTGTTCATAATCTTTTGAGTTTGGTTATGGAAATAGAAAAACTGCCATAAGTGTTTGGAGTGAGAAAAGGGAAAGCTTTCTTTGTTATGTGCTGTTAATACTTAGGAATGCAAGTAGTGCTCAGCTTTTGGATTTATCAGTTTTAGTTTGAAAATTAAACAAGCTTAGCTCAAATTTTAAGATTTTGCTTTTCTAAGAGGTCTCCCGATCTTTTTCCTTTCTTTTCAGTATTCATGTGATTGAACGGCGTGCTCTTCCTGAGTTTTTCAATGGGAAAAACAAGTCGAAGACTCCAGAGATGTAAGTGAAATGTAAAGATGTAATCCTGATACCATTACATACTTTAGTGGGGCCGCTGTTAAGAAAAATTGGTTATTTGTATGTATTAGGCAGGGGGTTCTCAAAGCACACTTCTGAGTTAATCTTTGCAAATGTGCTGGAAGTTTGTAGATATTCTTATTCCTTTACAACAGTGTTCAACTCTCAGCTGCACAGTGTTCTTTGCTTCAAAGGGAATTGTTTCCGATTTTTTTTCTTCCTCAACCTTGAACTCTATGCACATCAGCTCTTGCAGCTAAAGATTGAATTCAATAACAAGTATTCACTAAAATGAGTTCAGGTTTCCCCCTAATAGTTCCCACCCTGCGTGTACATGTGTGTTATGGATTATATATATTTATGTGTAATAATCTAGGAGAAAATGGAATCTTTATCTTATTTTTCTGATTAATGATTCGTAATTATAAGAATGCCAAATATGAAGATATAGCTGCATATGAATTGATCTTAATTAATAAAGCATTGTTGTGCTTTGCATTGGAAATAGTAAAACTTTTATTGGAAGGAAGAAGTTTGTCAGGAAATCTCTTCTTGAAATCCTTGCCCCTAAAATTCACATCTATCATATTATAAATACCTTTCCATGTATTATCTTCATAGCATTAATCTGTTGTCTGTTATACACATTTGACTGCACAAATAAATGTCTCTTGTTTAAATTGTTAGGGAAGGATAATTTTCCACATAAAACACATGGCAAATACAGAAGATTGAATAATAAGTATCTTCTGGTGGTAGATTGTCCATGATAGTTTGAGATTCTAAGTTTAGATGTCAAAGCTTATTGCACCCTTTCTGTAACAAAGGTCTAAGGAGTCGTTTAAAACCAGAATCAAAGATTTGGCGTAAGAGACTCTGTTAGTTTCCCTGATAGTTTTTCCACCTATTTGGACATGGTATATCCTTCCAGCTAATTTGTCTGTTGCCACCAGTTTGCCTTTTGCTAGCATTTGTAAATACTTCTGGTTCCCAGCAGTCTTCTGTTTACAAAAGCACAATTTAGCAATTTAGCCTGTTTAAATTTGTAAATTCACCTTTTAGTCTTTGTTTATCCACTTGTGCTTTTACAGGCCCCTTTTTGAGCAGTTTACCTTTTCTGCTCGGATGTAGCTAACCTTAAGCTGCCAGACTTTTGTTTTACTTTTGTGGCAAGAACTTTTCCTAGGTCTCCAGCTTCTTAACACTCTTGTTTTAAGTATTTTGTAGCAGAAATGCATGGGTATGTTGTGGAATCTGCTATGACTCAGAATCTGTTTTTCTTTCCTTTTTAAAATGTTCTTGTCTTACCTCTGAGTTTGGCTTCATGGGTTCTATTCGTTGCCTAGCTGGAATCTCTCTGAGAAACTGCTAGCCAGAGGGTATATAGTCATTGTCAGAGCGAAATCCACATGTAGCTCTAGAAAGAGTATAGAAATGAGATGCAGCATATGTTAAGAGCATGGATTCTAGATCTAGCACACTGCACTGAATTTTAGCTCCACTACCTACCAGCCTTGTGAACTAGGACAAATTCTTTAATCATCCTGTGCTTCAGTTTCCTCATCTATTCATAGAATAATAATAGACCCTACCTTGTAGAGAAATTGTGAGGATTGAATGAGTTATTGCATGAGAAGTGCTTAGAACTAGGTCTGGCACACAGTAAATGCTAGATACATGGTAATTAGTAAGACAGCCTAGGTAACCATGTGTCGTTTGCAAATTCTGCGGGCAGCTAAACTAAGGATTTATCCATTCACCTCTGTGACCAAGTTTATATTTCTGTTACTTCACATTAACGTCATCAGATTCCTTTATTTTACTTATTGTTGTTGTATATTAATTATATATTGCATGTTAGGAGTTCTTACCCAGAGTTATACTTGGGACTGTAAATTCTAAATAAAATATTATTATTGTTTGTTAGATTATGGTCTTAACTAAGTAGTATTTGGTTGTGAGGAATATGAAGACTTTTGGATCTATAAGTTATTGTTTCCGAAAGGATGTGTGTCCACCTTATGAATTTTGCCATTGCTTTTAGATACTTGGCATATCGAAATTTTATGATCGACACATATCGCCTAAACCCTCAAGAATATTTAACTAGCACTGCTTGTCGGAGGAACTTGACTGGAGATGTGTGTGCTGTGATGAGGTAAAATGTTTCACTTTTTCTTGTACACTTCACTGCTTGTGGTTAGTGATGCGTTGCTGTCTAATTTGATTGATTAAACTACATGGTTTCTTGGTTAATAAAATACCTAAATCTTATATCTTTCATTTAGGAGTTGAATATTTTTAATCCCTTAACATTTTCTCCTCTTTTTAAGATTTTAAAATTAACACCTTTTCTTTTAGAAACAAATCATAAAATGACTAAAGATGGAGAATGGGTTGGGGTGGGGAATGGATAAGCTCTGTGCCCCAGATCTGTCTAAAGAAAAAAACCAAAATGTGGGTCTCCTGTGAAGTTGGTCTTTACATGAGTTCTTTCAGCATGGACCTAACTGAATATTTGTTCTCTTATTTCTGTGATTGAAATGTTTAGGCTTATGCTAGGTTTCGGGGAGCTATATTATCAACATTATTTTGAGTTTTTAGAAATTGTCCCTCAGAAAACAAACCAAACCAAAATTGTCAATTACTTTGTCATGGTTCGTAGCCTACAGAGAACATCTTTACTTTTTTTGTTTTTGTTTTTAATGAGATGTGATGATGGTTTTGAAGGAGGTGAGGTACATTTTCGAGATTTTAACTTTCAGAGCTTTATTCTTCAGGGTTCATGCCTTTTTAGAGCAATGGGGGCTCGTTAATTACCAAGTGGATCCAGAAAGTCGACCCATGGCAATGGGACCGCCTCCGACTCCTCATTTCAATGTATTAGCTGATACTCCATCTGGGCTTGTGCCTCTACATCTTCGATCACCACAGGTAAATTAATGCTGTCTTTTCTTCAGCTCTGAATGGTAACAGACCATCACTTCCACCATTCATATTCAGGAATTATTATTGTCATGTAATAGTACTGTTTCTTAGCTGATAGGTTTTATTTGTTAGTTTTTATCTGTTGTAAATGTTTGATATCATAAGAATATTTAGAGTTTAAGATAAGGCTCTCTTACTAATCCCAAGACTCTATGCCTTATCATGTTATAGATTTAATTTCATACTCATGACTCCCTTTATCACTTCTACCATCAAAACCACTTCCAAACAAGGAGATTATTTAAATCTGTTAAATTGTCTACAACTTCCCCTTCCTAACATTTGGAAAGTGGACATCCATACACATGTTTTCTTGAAAAGATTATTAGGTCAACCAGATTATGTATAGCATTAAGTTGGAATAACATGAATCTAAGCTATAAATTGCCCTCTATTGCGAAGTGGAAGATCACATAAACGAAATTTGTTACCTATTTTCTCTGTGACTGAAAAGAGGCAGAAAAATGTTTCTTACATGTTGAAATTTTATTAGAAGTGTAGTGTGGAGGTGTGGGTATTTATTCTTTTGTAGAATCTCCACCAGGAGTGGTTTAAATGCCGCTATTAAATAATTTGTTAAAGACTTCCATCCCCTTGACTTTGTAGAGGTTAATACAGCCATTTATCATTTATCTGACTCTTAGGTCCCTGCTGCTCAGCAGATGTTAAATTTTCCTGAGAAAAACAAGGAAAAACCAATTGATTTGCAGAACTTTGGTCTTCGTACTGATATCTACTCCAAGAAAACCTTAGCAAAGGTAAGGAATTTTTTCAGGAGACGCATGGACTTTCTCCATGTCCTCTTTGTTCTTCTTCCTTCTAAGAAGCATCATTTTTCATAAGAAACTTAATTTACTCTCTGTAATGTAAGGAGGTGAACTTTGTACTTAAATCTGATGGCATTTCATAAAACAGCAGTCACTTATCTTCCCTTTTCTTCTGTATGGTTAGAAGATAGGTATTTAAAAATAACTATAATTAATGTGTTAAAGAAAATAGAGGGAACATGGAGAATTTCAACAGAGAATTGGAATACAGTCATGTGCCGGATAACAGCATTTCGGTCAACAATGGACTACATATAATGACGGTGGTTCCATAAGATGAGTACCACGTAGCCTAGGTGTGTAGTAGACTTTTACCATCTGGGTTTGTGTAAGCACACTCTGATGTATGCACTGCGACAGAATTGCCTAATGATGCATTTCTCAGAACATATCCTTGTTGTTAAGTGATATATACTGTATATAGAAAGAATCAAATGAGTATTGAGTAATTGAAAATATACCTGAAATTAACTCATCAGATGGGTTTAATAGCAGGCTGGACTCAGCAGAAGACAGGATTAAGAAACTCAGGAAGATTAGTAGATACAGCAAAACTGAAACACTAAGAGCAAAATTGGTTTGAAGTTGGGGAGGGACAGGACAGAGAGAAAAGAGTGTAAGAGACACATGAGATACAGTCACAAGAATTAATATTTATCACTAGAGACCTATAAGAAGAGAAAGAACAGTGAAGAAGCAATATTTTAAGATGGAATGGCTAAAAATTTTTCATAACTGCTCCCTGCACATTCTCTGGATGCCAAGGGGACACACCACACTCTGGGGACCCTACAGCATCCTCTGCCAGGCAGAGAGGAGCCGGAGGCATGTCCCTGAAGAAGGGAGATGGGCTTCTGACCAGCTGTTCCCTGTGTTAAGGCATCATGGCAGAGTAAGCTTTTCCCTTAGACTCTCCCCTCTAAGATACAACCAAAAGGACACTCGTAAACCAACAGAGGACATTCACACAACACAGTAGATGTCCGAGAGATCAGCACAACCATACACCTGAAGGATGGAGGTGCTGGACCCCCTCGGAGGCAGTAGAAAGGGGTAAGGGGATCGCTTCTCCTTCCCTGAATGGCAGTGACCGAGGGCATGGGACTGTGCCTGACACTGAGGAGAAGGGGAGGTGGCAGCCCTCCGCAGGAACGCCTTTGCTCTTGGAGTCGACTCCTAGCCTGTGGGAAAGCTCCACACCATGTAGGGTAAGCAATCATGGGGGTGTCTTCACTGTGCCGAGCAGCCCAGTAGGGTAGACAGTGAGTGCAGAGCAAGAGCACCTGCGGGATTGTGCATGTGGAAGAAAGTGCCCTTCCCCTCACCTGGCACACTAGCTTGGCCGGTTGGCCAGAGCAAGGGACCCATGCCAGAGCACCTGTGCATACGTATGTAAATCAGCAGTGGCTGGCGGACACTCGCAGACAGGCCCCAGTAGATAGGCACAGTTGCCAGGGATTGCGGTGGGTTTAGAATACACAGCTCCTGCTCCGCATCCCCCTGCCTCTGCCCCAGTAGCTGCAGATGGATTCTGACCAGATGCTACCACTGTGCGAAGCCACAAGTCCACCCCATCAAATAGTATGATGAGGTATATTAACACTCCAGACCAAGAGGAAAACGACATGTACCCAGAAACCAATCCTGAAGGCACAGAAATTTACAATCTAAATGACAGAATTCAAAATAACCATCATAAAAGACCTCAATGAGTTACAAGAAAACTCGAAAAGACTGTTCAATGAAATGAGGAATAAAATTAGTGAACAGAGGGAATTCTTCACAAAAGAGATTGAAACTATAAAAGAAAAACCAATCAGAAATGTTGGAGATGAGAAACATAATGCATGAGAGAAAAGAAAAATCTGGAGTCCTTAGATAACAAAGCTGATATTCGGTGGGACAAAATTAGCAATTTACAGGACTGAAATACAGAAATGCTTCACATGGAAAAGGAGAAAGAACTAAGACTAAAAAGAAATGAAGAAAATCTGTGAGAAATATCTGACTCAATTAGAAAATGCAACATGAGCATTATAGGTATTCAAGAGGGAGAAGTGTGAGAGAAAGGAGCAGAGATCTTGTTCAAAGAAATAATAGCAGAGAACTTCCCAAACCTGGGGAAGAAGCTGGAATTACAAATAAAAGAAGCTAATAGAATTCCTAATTACATCAATGTAAAACGACCTTCTCCAAGACATATTAGTAAAACTGGCAAAATTCACTGACAAAGAAAAAATATTAAGGGCAGCAAGGCAGAAGAAAATAACATACAAAGGAATCCCTTTCAAGCTTCCAGTGGATTTCTCAGCAGAAACCTTACGGGCTAGGAGAATGTGGAATGATGTATTCAAAATTCTGAAAGACAAAACTTTCAAGCAGGGATACTCCATCCAGCAATATTTATCCTTCAGATATGCTGGAGAAATAAACTTTCCCAGATAAACAAAAGCTGAGGGAGTTCGTCACCAGAAGACACCCCCCTGCAAGGAATGATCAAGAAGGCTCTTATATCTGAAAAAAAAGGGGGAGGGGTTTAAGCCTTGAGCAAGGAGATAAATAGGCAGACAAAATCAGAAAATTGCAGCTCTCTTTAGAACAGGTTAGCTAACACTATTATAACATTAAAGGTAAAGGAAAGGAAAACATGAAAAGTAACTATAATCACTTCATTTTACCTACAGACTCACAACACAAAATGGAATAAGTTGTGACAACAACAACAAAAACTTAGGGATGAGGAAAGGGATGGAACCTGCTTAGACTAAGGAAATAAGAAGCATCAGAAAATGGACTATCTCATATACAAGATCTTTAAATGAACTTCCAAGTAACCACTAAACAAAAAATCAGAACAGAGGTGCATAAGATAAATAAAGAGAAAACTGAGAAAACCATCATAAAGAACCACCGAAGTTGGGGGCCAGCCCGGTGGTGCAGGGGTTAAGTTTGCACATTCTTCTTTGGCGGCCCGGGGTTCGCTGGTTCGGATCCTGGGTGCGGACATGGCACCACTTGGCAAGCCATGCTGTGGTAGGCATCCCACATATTAAGTAGAGGAAGATGGGCACAGATGTTAGCTCAGGGCCAATCTTCCTCAGCATAAAGAGGATTGGCAGCAGATGTTAGCTCAGGGCTAATCTTCCTCCAAAAAAAAAGAACCACCAAAGTGAATTGGCAGTCAGAAATACCTGGAATGAGAAACAAGGGAAATACAGAACAACCAGAAAACAAGGGATAAAATGTCAGTATTAAGACTTCATGTATCGGTAATCAGTGTAAATGCACACAGGTTGAATTCTCCAATCAAAAGACCCAGAGTGGCTGGATAGATTTAAAAACAGGACCCAACAATATGCTGCTTCCAGGAAACACATCTCAGCTCTAAAGACAAACACAGACCAGAGGAATGGAAGGAATGAAAGAATGGAAGATGATACTTCAAGCCAATGGCAAGCAAAAAAAAGCAGGTGTTGCCCTACTTATATCAGACAAAGCAGACTGCAAGATAAAAAAGGCAATGAGAGACAAAGAGGGGCAGTATACAATGACTGAAAGGACATTCCACCAAGGGTACATAACACGAGTATATATGCACCTAACATAAGAGCACCAGAGTACATAAAACAACTATTAACAGACCTAAAAGGAGATATTAACATCAACACAATAAGAGTAGGGGGCCTTAACACTTCAGTTTCATCAGTGGATAGATCATCCAGGCAAAAAGTCAACAAGGAAATAGTGGAATGAAATGAAAAGCTAGACCAGATGAACTTAATAGATATATATAGAACACGCCATTCAAAAATAGCAGAATACACATTCTTCTCAAGTGCACATGGAACATTCTCAAAGATAGACCATTTGTTGGGAAACATGGCAGGCTAAATAAATTTAAGAAGATTGAAATCATATCAAGCATCTTTTCCAAACATAATGCTTTGAAACTAGAAATCAGCTAAAGGAAAAAGCTGGGAAAGTGACAGATGTGTGGAGACTAAACAACATGCTTCTGTGAGCAACCAGTGGATAACTGAAGAAATTAAAGGGGAAATTAAAAAATATCTAGAGACAAATGAAAATGAATATACATCATACGAACTCATATGTCATGCAGCAAAAGTGATCCTAAGAGGGAAATTGATAGCACTGTGCAACCCACCTTAACAAATAAAAATCTCAGATAGGTAATCTTCAGCTACATCTGTCAGAATTAGAAAAAGAAGAATAAAGCAAGCCCAAAGTCAGCAGAAGGAGGGAAATCGTAAAAATTAGAGGAGAAAGAAATGAAACTGAAACCAAGAAAACAGTAGATTGAATCAGTGAAACTAAGAGCTGGTTCTTTGAGAAGATAAACAAAATTGACAAACCCTTAGCCAGACTAACTAAGAAAAAAAAAGAGTGTTCAAATGAAGCAAATTAGAAACGAGAGAAAACAAATTACAATAGATACCACTTAAATACAAAGGAATAGAGTTTTCAGAGAATGAATATGTTTGAATATATATTTTGAATTAGTAACATCTGCAGCTAAAGAATAATGTCAAGTATACTACACATCCTGTACTCTGTATATCTATGGTTTAGGGTCTGCAAATCAAGAAATATGAATCAGTTGATAAATTTTAATTTTCTTTTAAAGGTGTGATTTGAACTCTGACCTCTCATTTTTTTCCTCCCTAAAGCCCCCCATTACATAGTTGTATATCCTAGTTTTATGTCCTTCTAGTTCTTTTGTGTGGGCCACTGCCTCAGCATGGCTTGATGAGTGGTGCTAGGTCTGTGCCCAGGATCCGAACCAGCGAACCTCGCCCACCAAAGTGGAGCCTGTGAACTTAACCACTTTGGGGCCAGCCCCTAAATTCTAATTTTTACATAACTTTTACAAAATTTTTACATAACGCAAACTCAGTTTTCTTATACCCCTATGCTCACATAAATTTTCAGTTAAATGAGATTCTCATGGGAAAGGTGATTTGGAGTTTAGGGAATCCCTGGGAGATTGTTTTAATCAGGAGATGTTAAAAGTGAAATAGTATGAACTTATTGCAGTTGGAATCAGGAATCTGCTTTATATCTACTACAATTTTTTCTTGGAAAAAGTACTGCCTTTAAGTTATACCAAATGTTTGTTTTTTGTTTACAGTATAATAGCTGATTCCAGTATGCATTAAAATACTATGCCTTTGTAGCTTCAAAACGTATTTTTGAATATCAAAATATTGGAAATTAAATGTTTGATTAATCCATGAGTCCTTGGTAGACATCAAGAAATCTTTGAAATAAGCCAGCCTTTCTGTTTGAAGTTTAGGTTTCTTGTGCTTTTTATTCCTTTTACTCAGGGACTGACTTTGGTGGTTTGTATAAACCTGTGCCCTGAACATAGAAAGGAATCTTGCTGAGCTCCATATGCAGCCTTTAGGAATAAGTAAATTCTGATTTTGTTTCTTTAGAGTAAAGGTGCTAGTGCGGGAAGAGAATGGACTGAACAGGAAACCCTTCTACTCCTGGAGGTAAGCAGATTACTGATGTGGCCCCTTTATTCACGTATGAGATGGATACAGTTTCTGTGACTAGGACTTTAAATATACCTTTGGAATTTATCCTGAAAATATTTGATCCATGTGATGAGTTTTAACAGTGTTTTCCTGGGCTGTTATTATTTAAATATCACACTAGAGGTGACATTCTGACTTTCCGTAGGGGAAATCAAGCCTGGATATGTGTTATTTTGGCCCAGGTTGGGTTTTTTTTTTTTTTTTTAAAGATTTTACTTTTTTCCTTTTTCTCCCCAAAGCCCCCCGGTACATAGTTGTATATTCTTTGTTGTGGGTCCTTCTAGTTGTGGCATGTGGGACGCTGCCTCAGCGTGGTTTGATGAGCAGTGTCATGTCCGCGCCCAGGATTCGAACCAACGAAACACTGGGCCGCCTGCAGCGGAGCGTGCGAACTTAACCGCTCGGCCACGGGGCCAGCCCCCCAGGTTGGGTTTTTTGGTTTTAAATTTTTTTGCCAACATTTAAACACATATTGGAGCTTTGCCAAAGTAGTCTAGATTTCGAACTTGTCCTCCAAACTTTGAAGATCTGGCAATACCAGGGTCTCATTTCCACATAGCAATAATTGGCTGCCCTTGAGTAGCAGATGTTCCTTTGAAGTGGGGCAGTTTTTCAGATTCCAGTTTTTCTTAACTTAGCCCACCTCAGTCATTGTAGATTAGATCCCTACTGTGCTTGTATGCATTTGAGTGCACATCCGTTATATTTCCCAGAAGGATTCCAGAGAAGTAGCTAAAGACATCTGCCATTGAAAACACTATTGAAAGCAGAAACTATGGTAAACCAGTGATAATGCGTGGTGTCTCTGTCAATCAGTTTATTGAATGCTTATTTGGATTTCTTCATGTCTTTGGAGATTCTTGCAAATACTGACACAGCTAGATCTTAGCCATTATTTCTAGTCTGAAGGGTAGGAAAAACTATTTGCTTCTATATTTATCAATCATTTCTGAAGAAGAACCCTTTGTCTTTAGTTACAGAACAATTGTTTAAGTAAAATGGAGCCTACATGATCCACTTAATATTTGTGGATAGAATGTGTCTGTGGGTGCTGAATTAGGACCATATGAGGAACTTTATTGTTAAATCTGTTAGGAATGCTTTTGCCTGCAAGGAACAGATAATCTGACTAGCAGTAGGTTAAACCAAAAGGACATTGGTTTGTGTTCAACTAGATTTCTTCAGATTAGCAATTCCAAGATTGTTTCCGCTGCTCAATTATTTCATCAGGTCCCTAGCTTTTGTGTTGTTTTGTTCCACCTTCCTTAGCTGTCCACTTTTTATCTTTTTGTGTGTTCTCTTCTGGTCACAGGAAGGCTGGTTAATTGCAGCCTTCACATCCCCATTCAAAACAGGAAGAAAGTTGGAGACTTTTCTTCTCAGGCTCTTCTTGGAAGGAAAAGCTCTCCCAGAAGCCCCTCATCAGTCTTTCCTTTGTATCTCATTGATCAGAATGAGTCTCATAATCACCTGCGTGTGATCCTGGGAAAACTAATACCTGGCTTTGTGATTTCAGTAGTGGGGTCAACCTGGAAGAACGTGATTCCTGCTGGTAATTTACTGACAGCATCTGCACCATTTATAACTAAATGAATTTGTGGAAGAAGAGAGCTCCCTTTCACTAGAGTATTCCATCTGATCCAAAGTTGTGTATCGGGGGTAAAATACACAATTCAGAAATCAAGTATAAGGTTAGACCAGGTCAGCAGTTCTTAAACTTTCTGGTCTCGGGACAACAGTTACACTCTTAAAAATTATATTGAGGACTCCAAAGAGCTTTCATTTATGTGACTTGGTTAATGTTTTCTATATTAAAAATTAAAACTGAAAAATATTTAATTCACTTAAAAATAGCAGTAAACCCATTGCGAGTCAACATAATCAACATTTTTATGAAAAAATAGCTTTTGGAGGGCCTGGCCCGTGGCCAAGGGGTTAAATTTCTGCGTGCTCGGCTTCAATGGCCTGAGTTTTTGGGATTGGTTCCTGGGCGCGGAACTACTCCACTCACCAGCCACACCGTAGAGGTGTCCCACATACAAAAAAATAGAGAAGGATTGGCACAGATGTTAGCTCAGGGCTGATCTTCCTCAATCAAAAAAAAAGAAAAGAGGAGGGTTGGCAGTGAATGTTAGCTTAGGGCGAATCTTCCTCAGCAGAAAAATAAGTAAGTTAGCTTTTGGAAAATGAAAGATACTAGTGAGAAGTGTGGCGTTATACATTTTAGCAAATCTCTATAATGTTTGGCTTACTAGAACACAGCTAGATTTTCATATTTGCCTTTCTGTCAGATACATTGTTTTAGTTTAAGTATATTAAGAAAATCTGGCATCACCAGCGTATGTAGTTAGAAACAGGAGAGGTATGTTAATGATCTTTGCAGATAATAATGGATATTCTTACTTGATACTACATTAAAACTTGACCACTGATAGTTTCTTGAGGGTCAGTTGTAGTGTGGAATCCATTGGTCTCTCTTGTGCTTGTGATAGATCTTTTATCTATGTATGTTTGTGTAACACCTTACATTGATATTACTGAATTATGCGCATCTTCCAAATGTTGATACAGTTCATTATACAATATCAAAAAAATCTCATCTGATATTATTACCAGTCTCATCTCATCAGAAAAACTCTTTTTTAAGTAGTAGGACAAGCTTTCATGGCAGATACGTATTTTTGAGAATTCTAATTTTCACTTAATCATTGGCAATGAGCACTATCAGTTGTTTTCCTTGAAGTGAGATTTTTGAGAATCCTTGTTTGTTTATGAGCAAATGTTGGCCAGATAACTGTGAAACCATGGTGTGTTAACCATTTGTTCTAGTAAAAATGTTGTTTAATGAAAATAGTGGCTAGTTAGGTTTGAAATTCAAAGTATCGCAAAAATGCTTTTCCTTTAGGCAGCCATCATGCTTTGATAATTGATATTTAGTCCTCTTGTGTACCTCATGTTTCATAGCACCGAATATTAAAAACACATGGGTTTAGATGTTTAGAGTCAATAAAATTAGTTATTTTTACTATTTCATTAAGAAAACGTTTAAGTAAAGTTGGCTTATTTTGTTTTGTGGCGGTGAAGAATAAAGTGACTTTAAGTTAACACTGTCTGGTACCATTGCCTTGATTCATGCTAAGGGACCAGCAATTCAACCACCATTACTTTTTTCACCATCAGTACAAAAGTCAACATAATGAAAAAGGCAATAATATTCTGGTATTATTATGAAAAATGGTTTTGATCTCTCAGTTCCCCTGAAAGTCTGGTGCCCCATGGGTCTCCAAACCACATTTTGAGTTACACTGGGCCTGATGTTATTGGACATTTCTGTACTGCTTTAATTTGGTTTTTTTAGTTATTCCAAACTGATTCCTTAAGTTTTAGAGGTGTATTAACTATTTCCTTTTCTTTCTTACACTGTCTGCTACTTTTCCTTGTTCTCTCTCTCTCTTTGTGTCTCTCTCTCTGGATCAAAATTCAAAAAGATTTCTTCCTTCTGGGTTTTTACCAGTACTTTAATTTATTCTTGTCTGCCCATTCAGTATCAGTGATGTGCAGAGAGCTTCTTTTCTGAGCCACTTTTTATTTGTTTCAGGGCTGTTTTGTCTAGTCGTGTCTGTCATGGATGTTAATTTAAAAATTCTCATTACTTGCAGGGGACTATAATGTATATTTATATTGCTGTTTTAGAATCTCAGGGCTCTGGGGAGAAATTTAGTTGTGCAACACCAACTGGAACAGTAGTCTCACTATCAGTTCTTTTTCTTGCTGCACAGTGATACTCAAAATTTTCTCCTCTTCTACATTTAAGATTAGTGGATAGTACGTACAGAATGAGGTCAGAATGGCTGAGCTGCTGTTTACCCTGAACATACCCAGGAAAACCACAGTATCCTTACACAATAGTGCATTTTCTCTCCTGCAGGTGGGCCCTGTGCAGTGGTTGATTTTTTCTTTTAAGCATGTAGTTGAATCAACAGGTGTTGTCTGTGCTTAGGCAAAGAGAAATAAAAGGCTTCCCAACAGCATTGTTTACTATTAACACCTTCTATTTATATAGTTATTTACCAGTAATTAATAGCTTAAGAACATAAAGTCAGATAAAAAGTTTTTAATGGATTTATAACCAAAAAAACAGTCAATTTCTCCCTAGTGAATAGGTTGACAAATTTGGCAGCATGCCAAATATTTCAGATTATTCTTGAGATCACTCACTTTTATTTACAAAAGATTTTGTTTGGTATAATCTCTTATCAAAGGATAGTTGTTGTATGGAAAGCTACAAGTTGTTATCTTTGGTTGTGTTCAGTTGATTGTCTTATCACAAGTATTGGAGGCATAATTTCAATTTTGCAAATAACCAAAGTGGAATCTACACATTGGACAAATGAATGCAGTTTGAAAAAAATCTTTGATTGGTAGACATGAAAGATAATATAAGTCTCTATATGAGCTTTTTAAAAAAAATATTGCATAAGATCAAGGTGTTGGAGACTTGTTTTAGTAAAATTTTATTTGTAAAATGTGTGAGGAATTTCATGTGTTTCACCTGAAAATCTGTCATCAGTGTAGGAAGCCACAAAGGCTAATAACTCAGTCCCTGCGGCAGTTTGAAATTGCGTAGACAGAATCATGGGGCCAAAATCAAAGAAGAAATGGTGCCATTCTATTACATAGTGATTAAGGAGATTTTAAAAAGAGGCTTTCACAATTGCTTTTAAGTCTACAATTAATTGCAGTATTCTTCCTGGTCATTTATAATTGCCCTGGGCTTGATATTGACAAGACTTGTATCTGTGAGCTTATCGTTTCTCCCTTGTTAACTTTAGTCTTTCTCATGCCTGCTTTGCTTTCTCATGCCTTGTATTTATTTTCCCTTAGATAATCAATGGATGTAAAGTCTTGTACCTGAAAATAAAGTCCATGAGAGTTATTAATGTTTGTTTATCACTAGAATTTTCACGTATCTTATACTGGCTAGATTTACAGAAGCAGTCGCATTAGGAGATATTCAGTAAGCAGCCTCAGAGATTTTCTGACAGCGTGCATGCACTTGATATACCTTTCCTTGATATGCAACCCAAGAAAGATTTTTTTCCTGTGTAATTTTAAATTATACTTTAGATGAGTATGTCTTCCGGTAAAAAAAAAAACTTGTCTTGAAGAAAAGCCTTTTTTACAGTGTGGTTTTATGTGTTGTGTTTTGTGGGGTTTTTTTTAACATTTGGAGCCATAGGAAAAGGTCAAATTCCTTTCTTGGTTTTGTCCAGTTCCCTGTGGTTAAGTTCAGCAAATTTTATTGGCTACTGTGCCTCAGGCACTGTAACAGACACTGCAGATTGAGATAGGCCATAGTCTCTGCAATTAAGGGATTTATAGTTTAGCAGGTGACACAAACAGATAAAATGAAAAATGAGTGCCATGTCCTCAGCTACACAGTTTGAGGTGCACCCAGAGCACAACACATACAGAGGAGTGGCTGTGTAGCTAGGCTGGGTGAATGAGATGTAATGAACAGCTTCCTGGGAAATGGGACAGCTTTGTTGATTCCAATGCATGATATTTCTAGTGCAGAACAAACTGTACATAGCCACAATACTTAGGAACAGTGTGGGATCTGGGTATTCCTGGAACAAAAGAGTTGGGAGTGTGGTAGAAGAAGTAGGCAGAGCCCCAATCATGTTTGGCCTTAATTCCATAAGATAATGATGAACAATGAAATAGTTTTAGGCAGGGGAGAGACAGTGTCTTGTCTGAAACATAGTACATTCTGCCATCAGAAAGTAGGATGAATTTAAGGATAGAGAGACATAAAATTCTGAGAATCCAGGTAAGTAATGGTGATTACCCAGGTTATGGCAGGAGGAATTAAGGTGTTTTGTAGTATCATAAAACATCTACTAATCTGATAGCTTTTCTCTATATGTCACCTGTCTGTCCTTCCTGGCCAGTCTGTCATCATGTTCTGTTTTGAAAACATCTCTTCAATCTGCCCCTCTTATGTAACGCTACCACCAGTGCCTAGGCTCAGAAGTTCACTGTTTCTCAGCCTTACGCTTTTCTGGACGCTGACTCTTGCTTGAATTTTGTGTCAAAGAATTCCTTAGACAACCTTCTTGAGCTTTATTTTTCTCTGGCTGAAGGAAAATGAATAAAGGAAACCTTTTTTTTTTTAATAATAAGTTTGTTTGAAAAGGTTATGATAGAGCATGCTAAGAAAATCTCTACCCATAATCAAGAACTTAAGATGGCCCCTGCTAAATGTTTCTGGCCCCAAGGACCCTAGCAAGGTAGATTGATTTTTCTTTTTTGCTACAGGCTGGGTCTTTTTTCTAAGTAACTCCTTCTATAACTATCTGAGGCCACTGACTATCCAGAGGAAACCCAGAGCTAACCTTGTTTTTCAAGGATTTAATGAGTAAGACCATTTGTTGGCTCGCGTTTTGAGGAGTCCTGTACCACTCCAGTGAGAAAGAAAGCCTGGAACAGCACTTGGAACCCAGGGTTAGGGATTCACTGAGGCAGGTAAACATGGAGAGAACTATCATAGCAAGCGGTTTCAGTGTAGATCAGCAAGTCAGGCTCTAGAGCAAGGCTTGTAGCCACGCCACTATTGACATTTGGGCCAGATAGTTTCTTTGTTGTGGGGGCTATTATGTGCGCTGTAGAATGTTTAACAGCATTCGTGGCCTCTATCCACTAGATGCCAGGAACACCTCCCCGGTTATATCAATCAAAAATGTCTGCAGACATGGCCAAAACTGCCCTGGTTGAGAATCATGGCCCTAGGAGAACTATTTGAGAGTAGTGCTTTGGTAAGCTACTGAATAGATTCTTTTTACCCAGTTAATTCCTTGACTTAGCACCGCATAGTTCTGATTTTCTTTATACTGTTCTGTCATTCTCTGCCTTGAAGACTGCTTTTCCTCTTTTTATTGGAGGTTTCCCGCATTTTCTCTGAAAAATTATAAGTTTTAAAACTAGAAATTTATATACTTTATAAATTTTAGTGTCATTTCTTTAATTGATAACAAAAAAAAGCTTGGAGTTCGAATGGAATTGCATTAACCCGTAGTTCATTTTGGAGAGAATTGACGTCTTAACAATATTGAGACTTCCACTGAAAGAACACAGTACTTCGTTTATTTAGGTCTTTGATTTCTCTCAGCATGTCTTTTTTCTTTTTTGGATATTGATCTTATACATATTTTATTATATTCTAGGTATTTCATTTTATGCTATTTTTAAATACTTTTTTCCAACTTAAAATTTTTCATTGCTCATATATATAGAAATATCATTGAGTTTTTCTGTTGCCCTTCTATCCTGTAACCTTGCTAAGCTTTTTCATTTTACTGCCTTTTTAGTGAGTTTCTTAGGTTTTTCTGTATAAGCAATCTTGTGTGTATTAACAAAAGGCAGTTGTACTTCTTCCTTTACAATATGCGTGCCTTTTATTATTTATTTATCTTGCCTGATTAAGAATTTAATATAAGGAGAGCTGTCAGATCTTCCTGTTTTCATATAAACATTTTCATTATTTTTTTAAAAACCTATCTAAAGAATAGTCACAGACTTCTCATGTTATTACATATTACTTCCTTGTTACCTGATATTAACGCTCCTGTTTTTTTTCTGTTTTAGGCCCTGGAGATGTACAAGGATGATTGGAACAAAGTATCAGAACATGTTGGAAGTCGTACTCAGGATGAATGCATCCTCCACTTTTTGAGGCTTCCCATTGAGGACCCATACCTTGAGAATTCAGATGCTTCTCTTGGGCCCTTGGCCTACCAGCCTGTCCCCTTCAGTCAATCAGGAAACCCAGTCATGAGCACTGTTGCTTTTTTGGCATCTGTGGTGGACCCTCGTGTGGCATCTGCTGCAGCAAAAGCAGCTTTGGGTATGGATTTTCCTAAACCATCTTGACAGCACAACAATTTCAGATAATGGTTTAATACTTTCCTTCATATTAATGTTATCTCAAATTTAAATATCAGCTGTTACATTCCTTTCTGTTATATAAATAACAAAAAGATCAACTATATTGTCCCTTAAAGATACCATGTTATATTTAAAAGTATTATAACACTTGAAAGTAAAACACAAATGTTTATTAAGAATTGGCTGGGCAGGGCCAGCCCCGTGGCACAGTGGTTAGGTTCGCACGTTCTGCTTCGGCGGCCCAGGGTTCGTTGGTTCGGATCCCGGGTGCGGACATGGCACTGCTTGGCGGGCCATGCTATGGTGGGGGTCCGACATGTAAGGTGGAGGAAGATGGGCACAGATGTTAGCTCAGGGCCAGTCTTCCTCAGCAAAAAGAGGAGGATTGGCAGTGGATGTTAGCTCAGGGCTAATCTTCCTCGAAAAGAAGAATTGGCTGGGCAAAACAATTTTTAATGGTATATTTTGTGATTCATTTGGAATTTGATGTAACTGGCAAAGGGAGTCCATTTAAGTTTTTTTTTTTTTTTGAGGAAGATTAGCCCTGACTTAACATCTGCTACCAATCCGCCTCTTTTTTGCTGAGGAAGACTGGCCCTGAGCTAACATCCATGCCCATCTTCCTCTGTATGTGAGATGCCTGCCACAGCATGCCTTGACAAGCAGTGCTAGGTCCGCAAGCGGGATCTGAGCTGGCGAACCCTGGGCCACCGAAGCAGAACATGCAAACTTAACTGCTGTGCCACCAGGCTGGTCCCCCATTTAACATTTTTGGATTATATTAATTATAATTAGAACTTTCGCACACCATACAACTCTTTCTTATCTTTCTGGTGGTTTAATCCTTGCTGTTTTCTTGTTTGTCAATCTAGCTAGCTGTGTTAGATAAAATTTGGACAGCAATTTTGATTGTTATTGATAGACATTTAAATATCTTTTATTTGTATAGCAAGGTACTGTGGCATGTAAGGTAAAACGTAGAGACATAGAATTTCATTACTGTACACGATTATGTCATTTAGCCTTCTTATTTTGTCACTGGATAAGACCAAGTCCTCAGAAAGGTCACTACATGCAAGATACTAATGTTGTGTTGAATTTCTTAGTGATTTACATTGAAGCAAATATTTGGGCAAAACCAGGTCACTTCTGTTTTTATTCTTGAACAGAGGAATTTTCTCGGGTTCGGGAAGAGGTACCACTGGAATTGGTTGAAGCTCATGTGAAGAAAGTACAGGAAGCAGCACGAGCCTCTGGGAAAGTGGATCCCACCTATGGCCTGGAGAGCAGCTGCATTGCAGGCACAGGGCCGGATGAACCAGAGAAACTTGGTGAGTCACTGCTGCTCCCAAGGACAGGGTTAATAGATGTTGTATTTTCTTATTAGCTTGCTAAAATAATTGGGTTTGCTTGCACTTAAAAGTGAGTACAATGATCGGTATAAGCTTCTCTCTTAAGATTAGTACAGTCATGCAGCACACAATGACATTTTGGTCAGCAGTGAACTGCATATATGATGGTGCTCCCATAAGATTGGTACCATGTAGCCCAGGTGTGTCGTAGACTATACCATCTAGGTTTGTGTAAGCACACTGTGTGATATTTGCACAGTGATGAGATCACCTAATGACACATTTCTCAGAATGTATCCCTGTCACTAAGTGATGCATGACTGTATATGATTTTTTCTCTTATCTCTTCTTTTTATGGTAGCTAGAATTAAAAAATTATTTCGTAACTATTAATAATATCATAGTTGTGAAGTATCTGACGCCTAGTTTTTAGATCTAGGTTTTGAACATACAGACATAAGAACACTGAAAGGACTTTCGTGGTTATTTTAACTTATATGTTGCTAGGTAAAAACCATTCTTATTCTTTTTGGTTATTTTTAAATTGAAGTAAAATTCATATAATGTAAAATTCTTCATTTTAATCACTTAACAATAGTTAAATCCAGTGACTTCTAGCACATTTACAGTGTTGTGCATCCATCACGACTATCCAATTTCAGAACATTTTCATCACCCCAGAAGAAAATCCCATACCAATTAAGCAGTCACTCCCCATTCCTTTCTCTCCTCAGTCCTGGTAACCACTAATCTGCTTTCTGTCTCTATAGATTTGCCTATTCTGGACGTTTCCTGTAAATGGCATCATGCAATACGTGGCCCTTTGTGGCTGATTTCTTTCATTTAGTGTGATGTTTTTAGTTTATCCATGTTGTAGTACAAATCAGTACTTCATTCCTTTCTATGCTGAAAGCATCTTTGAGTGGATATATACCACATTTTGTGTATCTTTTCATCGGTTCATGGATATTGTTTCCATTTTTTCACTATCTTGAATAATGCTGCTATGAACATTCATGTACAAATTATTTTGTGAGCATAGGATTTTTGCTTTTCAGGTGCCTAGGAGTAGAATTTCTGGATTATATGTTAATTCTATGTTTAACTTTTTGAGAAACTACTAAGTTGTTTTCCATTGTGGTTATATCATTTTCTGTTCCCACCAGCAATGTATGAAGGTTTCAGTTTCTCCACATTCTCACCAGTACTTGTATTTCCCCTCCCTTTTTTTTAATATGCAACCTAGTGGGTGTGAAGTGCTATCTCATTGTGATTTTTATTTGCATTCAATTTGAGAACTACTGCCATATCGACAATATTAAGTCTTTTAAATCTAATGAACATAGGATTCCATTTACTTAGGTCTTCTTTGATTTCTTTAGGCAATGTTTTGAAGTTTTTTTTTGTTCCCCCCCCCCCCCCCGGTAAGATTTGCCCTGAGCTAACATCTGTTGCCAATTTTCCTCTTTTTTTTGCTTGAGGAAGATTAGCCCTGAGCTATCATCTGTGCCAGTCTTCCTCTATTTTGTATATGGGATGTCTCCACAGCATGGCTGATGAGTGGAGTAGGTCTGCACCTGGGGTCCAAACCAGTGAACCTGGGCTGCCAAAGCAGAGCATGAGGAACTTTAACCACTTGGCAATGGGGCCAATGTTTTGAAGGTTTTAGTCTTGTATTTTCTTGGCACCTGTCTTGCATTTCCTTGGTTAAATTTATTCCTATGTGGGGTTTTTTTCCCTCCTGCTTTATCTCCCCAAATCCCCCCAGTATATAATTGTATATCTTAGTTGCAGGACCTTCTCCTATGTGTTTTATTTTTTTGGATGCTATTGTAAATGAGATTGTTTTTCTAATCTTGGGAAAGCTTTTAGGGTTTCATCACTAAGTATGACGTTAGCTGTTGGATTTTTCTAGATTCCTTTTATCAAGTTCAGTAAGTTCTCTTCTATTTCTAGTTTGTTGAGTGTTTTTATCGTGAAAGGGTACTGAATTTCGTCAACTGCTTTTTCTGTATTGAGATGGTGGTGTATTATTTTTACTCTATCGTTTTATATTAGCTGATTCTTGTCTGTTGAACCACCTTTGCATTTCTGCAATAAACCCCATTTGATCAATGTGAATAATCCATTTAATATCGTATTGGATTAAGTTTGCTAATATTTTGTTGAAGATTTTTGCATCTGTTTTCGTCAGGGAAATTGATTAGTACTTCTCATTTCATTTTCATTCTGATATAGTTGTCTGGTTTTGGTATCGGGGTAATACTGACCTCAAAGAATGAGTTAGGAATTGTTCCCTCTGTTTTTCAGAAGAGTTTGAGAAGTATTGGTGTTCATTCTTCTTTATTATTTATTTATTTTTGTGAGGAAGATTGGCCCTGAACTAACGTCTGTTGCTAATCTTCCTCTTTTTGCTTGAGGAAGATTCCTGAGCTAACATCTCTGCCAGTCTTCCTCTGCTTTGTATATTTGATGCTGCCACAGCGTGGCTTGACAAGTGGCATGTAGGTCTGCGCCCAGGATCTAAACCTGTGAACCATGAGCCAGCGAAGCAGAGTGCGTGAACCCAACCACTACGCCATTGGGCCAGCCCCCATCCTTCTTTAAATGTTTGACGGAATTCACATGTGTGGCCATCAAATCCTGGGCTTTTTCTTGCTTGCTTGCTTGCTTTTTAAATGTTTTTTGATTACTGATTCAATTTGTTTACTTGTTCTAAGTCTGTTTAGATTTTCTATTGCTTTTGAGTCGGTTTTGGTAGTTTGTGTCTTTCTAGGAATTTTTCCATTTCATGTACATTATCTAATTTGTGGGCCACACAAAAAAACATAGCAACCAAAAATAGAAATCTCACATGTCCATCAGCTGATGAGTGGATTATCAGAATGTGATATACAATATAATATTATTTGTTGATAAAATGGAATTGAGTATTGACATATGTCATATCATGGATGAACTTAGAAAACATTAGGTGTAAGAAGCCAGTGAAAAGAGATAATATATTACATAATTCCAATTATATAAAATATCCTGAATAGGTGAACCTATAGAGTCAGAAAGTAGATTAATGGTTACTTAGGGCTAAGAGTGACAGGTTAAAGAGGATGATAGCTAAAGGGTGTGGGATTCCTTTTTGACTGATGAAAATGTTTTAGAATTTACTGTGGCAATGGTTACACATAATTTGGGAATATACTAAAATTTATTGAATTGTGCTCTTTTAATGGGTTGATCATATGGTATGTGAATTATATCTCAGTAAAACTTTTGAAAAGTTCATGGTGTCCTTTTTATTTCTGTGAGGTTGGTTAATGTCCCCATTTTCATTCCTGATTTTAGTTATTTGGTCCACTCTTTTGTTTTTTTCCATCAATCTCGATAAAGGCCTGTCAATTTTGTTTTCTGTTTTCAAAGAACCAATTTTTTATTTTGGTGATTCTATTGTTTTTCTATTCTCTAATTTATCTCCACTCTAATCTTTATTATTTACTCCCCTTCTACTTGATTTTAGTTGCTCTTCTTTTAATTAATAGTTCCTTAAGTTGATAGATGGGATACTGATTTGAGATCTTTCTTCTTTATTAATACAGACTTTTCTAGCTATATAACTTTCCCTCTCCTTTTGCTGCATTCCGTAAGTTTTGATATATTTTATTTTTGTTTTCATTCTTCTAATTTCCCTTGTGATTTCTTTTTAAAATTTTCTTAAATTTTTTCTTTTTTTAAATTATTATTTATTTTTAAATTTTTTATATATATATATATTTTTTTTTTGAGGAAGATTAGCCCTGAGTTAACATCTACTGCCAATCCTCCTCTTTTTGCTGAGGAAGACTGGCCCAAGCTAACATCCATGCCCATCTTTGCCTACCACAGCATGGCTTGATGAGTGGCGTATAGGTCCACACCCGGGATCTGAACCTGGGCAGCCGAAGTGGAACACGCAAGCTTAACTGCTGCACCACCGGGCTGGCCCCCCTTGTGATTTCTTTTTGACCCATTGGTTCTTTGAGTATGTTGTTTAATATTCACCCATTTGTGAATTTTTAAAATTTCCTTCTGTTTTCTGATTTCTAATTTCATTCCATTGTATTCAAAGAAGATAATTTGTGTGATTTCTTTTAAAATTTACTGAGACTTGTTTTGTTGCCTAACATATTGTCTGTCCTGGCGAATATTCCTTTTTGTATTCTGCTGTTGTTGAATGATGTCTTCTCTGTATGTTTGTGTGGCTGGTTTATAGTGTTGTTCAAGTTGTCTGCCTCTTTGTCTGTCTTTTTTCTAATTGGTCTGTCCTTTATTGAAAGTGATGTCTTGAAATCTCCAACTGTTATTGTTGAGCTGTCTGTTTCTTCCTTCAGTTCTGTCTAGTTTGTTTCATACATTTTGAGGCTCTGTTGTTAGTTGCATACTTGTTTATAATTGTTACATCTTTTTGATGGATTGACCAGTTTATCATTATATAATGTCCTTCTTTTTCTCCTGTAACATTTTTTTGTCTATAAGTGTATTTTATCTGATATTAACATACCACTCCTGCTCTCTTTTGGTTATTGTTTTTGCATGGAATATCTTTTTCTGTTAATTTACTTTCAATCTGTTAGTCTCTGGATCTAAAGCAAGTCTCTGAATGTTGTTTATTGGATTTTAGGATTTTGCAGACATAGGTTCTACCTTTTGTTCTGCCCCATAAAGCCGCATGACTTTAAAAAGCTACTTACCTTTGCTAGCCCTGAATTCTCTTATCCATAACATGAAAGAGATGTTTAGATAATCTGTACAATGTGTTGTTTAACTATACCAGTCTGTGATATTGGACAGATGTTGTTTTTGCTATTAAGGACTTTTAATTACCTATTTTTGTTTATTTGATCCTGAAGAGGAATAAAATTTTAATAAAGTAGCTTCATAAGCAATACATGGCTTCTCAAATGGGAAGTGTTTTCTGTGTGTTATGAGACTAATTTTCACATCAA